ACTCGGTACTCCCAGTCTGCCAAGACAGCTTGCTTTATAGCGTACTTGATTTCTGCTCTCACCATTGGGGGTGTAAGATGTTTTCCCCTTCTCACAGCAGCACTCCGAAGATTCCATATTGTCCGTACAATGGCAGCTCGAATAGTTTCTTCTGCATGGGCCAAATGATCAGGGGACGGTCGTCTTCTTGAAGCCACCCCCATCAGCACAAACTGATCATCCCACCGAGTAGCTGCCCCAGTGACAGGGAAGTTGGACCGTCTCCACCACCCCCAAAATGTCTAGATATTTCACAACGTAATAGAAGGTGATGGATGTCCTCCATTCCTGTTCCCCGGCAAAGTCTGCATTCCGCCGGAGCAGCCTTTACCGTTCTTCGTGCACACCAAGAATCAACAGGCAGTGCTTGATGCATTATCAACCAGAGTAAACTTGCATGTTTGCTTACTGTCAGGTCCAACAACTGTTTCCAGAAACCAGGTAATGCTCGAACCAGTCTTGTCAGTGAGTCTGTTATCCATCCCGTTGCCATCCACCTTCTTCCCACTACCAGGTTTACATCCACTTCCTGTGTTGAAATCAAATAACCCAACTTAGTTGTATAACTATCGAGCGAGATCAGCAAGTTGTCATTCTTCGGGTGTGTCCAGACCCAGTCTCTCGGGTCGACCGGTAACGCATAGGCCGCTCTTTGTAAGTAATAAGGTCGATAACCGTCTCTTTGTTCCAACACACAAACCGGCGGAGGTAGAAAAGTCTGCTCTTGGGCGAGTGGCAACGACTCTCCCAGGGAATGTATCCCACCCTGCACTTCCCAACAACTGAACGGTATATGAACTGCTGCTCCATAGTTCTCGACTTCCCAAATCAACTCTGGTTCCTGATGGTCCTTGTGCTTGTACCACATGCCCATTACAGGCACCACCCCCCGACTCATTGTTTGAATCCAGTCCTGCGGTATAGCCTGTTGCAATTGGTGCAAGTGTTGATTTTGATGCCACAGTGGAGACCTATTCACACCCTCAGCCCGAGACTCACTCGCCACATTTTTGTCTTTTTCACATTTGAAGAGTGGTGTGGGGCTGGCCACACCACTGTAGAAAGGCTAAAAAATTCAATGGCTGTCAGAATACATTCGACAGCCTCCCTTGGACAGCTTTCCCCCCTTCAGGGCCTACCTAGTTGCACTACTTCCCATCCGCCACAGTTCGTGGTGGTTGGGTGGAGAGTGAAAAAACAAAAATGAGAATCCTGTCCAACTGGAGGCCTGGTTGCACTTGCTGCCCGCTATATTTCTTCTACAGAAGAGTTTTTTTTTTTTTTTTTTTGTCTGCCTGATCTCCACTCGTGAAGCCGTGCACTCACCAACCTGGGCTCAAAAAAAAAAGAAAAAAAAAAAGGAAGTTGTGTTGTGGAGAGGTCCGAAAGAGTTGTGTTGTGGAGAGGTCCGAAAGACCACCCTCCACAAACCCCACGTGCACAGGCGTGGGAGCCGAAAACACTCGCCACAACTTGTGTCTACGGTGTGTGGCAAGCCGTCTAACACATTTCTGGTTTGCTAAACTTGGCGCTTGGCGTACCACGAGTAGTGCAACCAGGCCCTTAGGCACACAGCACTGTAGAATGAACGCACTTGCAGATGCACTTGCAGATGCAAGAAGATGGAAAAAGAAGAACGCGCCTGAGGGTACGACAAGGAAAAAGACGGAAGTGCCTGAGGGTACGACAAGCATTAGGGCCTCACCGCACCACTGTGGAAAATGCGCTTTTCGACAGTTCGTCTTCGCCACACAGGGTGTCGAAGTCGGAGATGGGAAGAAAATTTGCAAGTTGTCAGAGAATGCTTCTCGACACCTCCTGTCGAAAGTTGTTGTTGAATCCGCACACAGCCTGCTACTCCGATGCTTTCGACACTCCTCGGCTGCTCCGTCGACTTCTCTTGAAAATTTCGTGAGTGGGGGTCAGGTCAGGATAGACTGATGCTTGTTGTACCCTCAGGAGCGTTCGTCTTTTTCCATTGTCACAAGTGCGTGCACTCTACAGTGCTGTGTGGCGAAAGGGGGGCAAACTGTCTACTGGAGGCTGTCAAATTTGTTCTGACAGCCCTCAATTTTTTTGGCCTTTCGACTGTGGTGTGGCGAGGCCCTTAGTCCATCCTGACCTCAAGCCCACTCACCAAGGGCAATGGACACACCACTCTCGAAATGTGCAGAATGAGAATGAACTTTTCCGATAGAACATGGCCAGATGCACCCTTCAGTTTTTTGTCTTTTTCACATTTCCAGAGTGGTGTGGGGAGGCCCCCAATTTCGGGGGGAAGTGGATCGCCCAGCCGAGGACTGTTGAAAGCATCAGAGTAGCAGGCCGGGGATTCATCAACTTTCGAAAGGGAGGGGTAGAGAAGCATTCTCTGGCAACTCTTCTCCGATTTTTAATTTTATTTTATATTTTTTTGGACCATTTCTCGATTTCTGCATGTCATCCTTGCACAGGGGCCATGCCATGCTAATCTTCTTTCTAACGGATGTCCCGAAGGACCTCGTCTCCGATTTCGACAGGCTGTGTGTCTGCACTTTATCAGCCATAGGACCTCCTCCGTGCAGGCACGGATTCGAACCGGCGCCCTCAGCCTCAAGAGCCGAGTCTCTTAACTACTACAGCCATGGCACGGTGTACAAAAGTGGATCCATGCCGGTCGTGATATCCACCCCACCCGTGCATGGCTGTAGTGTCCTTCAACTCACACACACACACACACACACACACACAACACCACACAAGGCATCCGCCACACAGGCAATAGTCGCACACTCTGCTCTCATCCAGCACAACTGCTTATCCAACGGTTTTATCCACGGGCCACCACATCCAGGTATAATTTCCGGGCTGGTTACCCGGTTAGAGTACAGTCTGCACTTTATCAGCCATAGGACCTCCTCGTGCACGCATGGATTCGAACCGGCGCCCTCAGCCTCAAGAGCCGAGTCTGGCCAAGAGAGAAACTATCCAAAATCGTGATTTCGACACAGTGGTGTGGTGTGCCCAGAGCCCCACAGTTTCCAATTGCAATTCCGGCAATGTATACAACCCAGCTTTCTGGCCAGGTGTAGGGTGCCTGAAGTGCAATTGCAAACTGTATCTTGCCCCATTATGATAGTGCAATTAGAACTCCTTTTTTTTTTTTTTTTTTTTTNTTTTTTTTTTTTTTTTTTTTTTTTTTTTTTTTTTTTTTTTTTTTATAGAACTCCTTTTTGCAACTCTACTGAAGTTACACCCCCCCAAAATAAATACAACGCAAAGAGTGCCAGAAATCCAGGGGCCCCCAGGGTCTTCCATCCAAGATTCCTACTTGGTGAGGTGGAGCCCCTCCCCTGTAGCTAGAGGACTCTGACCATACGCAGGCAAAAGTAAGAAAAAAAAAAAAAATTGAGCCATTTAACTGCTGCAAGACCCTGGGCCTGCTTTGGGGCATGCTCACAGTCGCGTTTTTTTTGCTAAATCGCGAAAATCTGCTATGCTGTTAGAGTCACACTAGGGTTTTCCGACCACCAAAATTGCAAACGGGGTAGCATTTGTCAGTGGCCTGGGGGGCTGCAGGGATGGACATTTTGCTACCACCTCAAGAGGCGGTGGCAAATTCTCGTTCTCTTTTGGCAGTCGCAAATTCTCTTTCGCCTTTTGGGAATTGTTAAAAGAGAATTTCCACGCTTTGTGACCATGAGAGGCACCAATTTCGCAATTGCCTGAGAGTCCCTCTGGTGTCCTTTCTGATTTGCAACCCATGTGTGACGGGGCAGGGTATTATTTCAGCAAATATGTGAAACAAAATTCAGCAGATTTTACTAGACTGCCACCGCTGTGTGAGTATGCCCTTAGGGCCTCGCCACACCATTGTCTAAACTACAGTTTTCGACATTTTTTCTTCGCCACACAGACTGTCGAAGAAAAAATGTCGAATGCACTTCGACAATAGTCAGAAAAGTGGTTCCAACATGGGTGTCCAACGGCCCGCCTGCAGCGGGTCGAGTTTCGACATCACGGAGGCGAGGTGTTGAGGGATGTGCTGATTTCGACATCTATGCCTCAAGCTCCCGTGTCTTCTTCTTCTTTTTTTTTGTTTTTTTCTTCTTCTTCTTTTTTTGTTTTTTCTCCCTTTTCTAAAAACGAAACTACGGTGTGGCGAAGGTGGCCATAGTGTCGAAGCGGTGAATGTCGAAAATGGTCTGACAGTTGTCGAATATTTCACCGTTTCGACACTACTGGTGTGGCGAGGCCCTTATTCCAAAGAAAAACTAAGCTACCCGTTGTAATAAAAGTTTGTATTGTAGGATTGTGAGGCTTTGGGTCTCGCTGCACTACTCTACTTCGCGCAAATTCGGAGAGTTGTGCATCTCTGCACAAACTCTCCGATAGAACCCGAAAAGAAATTCGGAGAGCTGTCAGAAACCACAAAGGAATTGAACTCTCCGCCGACGGAGAGTGCCCAGCCTGCAAAATTCGTTACGGGGAGAGACCTTCGTGCTTTCAAAGCATGAACACTCTCGCACTTAGTATGGCCCCTGCCCCCACAATTAGTCCCCCAGGTAAAGTAGCACTTGACCACCAAATAGGAATAGCTGGGAAGCTATGTTCATTCTTGGAAAGCATGAAACTGGTTGCAAAAAAGGTCAGGTTTGTGCTTTCACAGCACGAAAGCCCTAGCACCAGTGGGGCCTCTAACCTTTTTTTTTTTTTTTTTTTTTTTTTTTTAACAAGCGGATCAATAGTACTCCCGACCAAACAGGATTTTTTTTGTTGAATTACTCCTCAGCAATCCCAAATGTTGAACTCGCTCAACCACACAACATTCTAACAGTATATGGACTGGGTTTTCCTCCAGATGCATTTGGACTGACCTAACATGTAGAATGCATCTAACCCACCAACAGCTCTAGATACATTCAGAATGTTGTGTAAAGGCCCTGTGAGAATCGGCCGTCGTATGTGGTATTAGTCCACATTCTAGTCCACATTCGAAAAGTATGTGGACTACGGATGACATGGAAAGCCGGTTTAAATTTTCTTTTTCTTTTTTCTGGACCGCTACTAGTTCGAATCCGCCGATGGAATCAGATCAACATGGTAAAGGTAGGTTAAATGATTTTGATGGGCTTAAAAAATAATCAAAAGAGGCTTAAAAAATAATCAAAAGAATTATCTTTAAAAAGCAAAAACAAAGACTTCGGTCCTTCGATTCACCCGTTAAAACTTAAAAGTGGAATGATACAGAAAATATTTCTTTGTTCTTTTTTTTGTTTTTTTTTCCAACAGAGAAGATTAGCATGGCCCCTGCGTAAGGGAGAGGGGAAAAAATCGAGAAATGGTC